GGGCGAGTACTGGAAAAAGTGGTATCGGTGCATCCCTAGTTGTAGATTCTGATTTTGGAATGTGTATTCGTGCAGGTAGCCTATATTCTGAAATGTTGATGTGTTCCCTTATAATCCCCAGACTTTGGTAATAAAATGTGGTGGTGTTTCATTGTGGTTTACATTTGTCACACTCCGACAATCAGTCTGAAAATAGACACATGCCATTAATAGTAGTGTGTGAATTGTGGGAGATCAGAACGCTGAATTATAAATCCATCCCATTTGGTCAAGCTCATCTGTTCCTTCAAAAAGTGCCAGATCCAAAACAGGAAATCACTCCGCACCAGCTTGTAATCTTTCAACTAAACAGACATTTCCTGCTCAACTTGTTTTTTGACTTTTTCTTTTTTACGATTTATTCCAGTTAAGACCCCTGCTCCGCCATCTCTCTCTCTTTCTCTCTCTCTCCCTCCCTCCTTTTCCCTCTCTTTCTTTGGTTTGCTTCTTATGGACAGGAATCTTGGAATCTCTGTAGATGTTATTAGTTTCTCATGCTGGTTATTTGTTGTTGCTGCCTTCACATGGCCTTCATCTCTTATTTGATTTTCCAGTAATTTCTGAAATCAATGTTCCCTCAATTTTTTTGTTCTTGCTAAGCAAAATGTATTTCTGTTGGACAGACATAGGTTATTTATTTGGGTTATCACCACATTTTGGTGATGTTATATATAGAAATAAAATTTATTGCAAAAAATGCAGAAATTTAGGCTGACTGTGTAAGGATGATTATGCTAGTTAAAGCTGCAGTGTGTCATTTCTGCACGTCTAGCATCTATTGTTGGACAAAAACATGCCACAGATAATTGCTGTTTTAAAGAAATAGTTTACCGAAAAAAGAAAATATGCTGAAAATGTGCTCAGCCTCAGGCCATCTAAGATGTAGATGAGTTTTTCTTCATCAAAACAAAGTAGGAGAAATTTAGCATTATATCACTTGCTCACCAAAGGATCCTCTGCAGTGAATGGGTGCCGTCAGAATGAGAGTCCAAACAGCTGATAAAAACATCACAATGATCCACAAGTAATCCACACAACTGACATCTTTATGATGTTTTTAACTTCAAACTGTTGCTTCTGACTAAAATACAAGTCCTCTCTCCATAATGTTGCTTTCTCCGGCGAAAAGGTCATCTTGTCTGAATCAGGCAAAAGGTATGCACAGATGAAACACTATTTACAAGTGTAAACAGTCCAAATTCCAAAACGTTTCTAAAGAAATACGTTGTGGGTTTTGATGTGTGAGGACAACAGGTGATGGGCGTTTTTACTAGAGGAAGCATTATTGCAGATTATGGACGCATATTTTGGCTAGGCGTAACGGATTCAAGTTAAAATGCCTTAATGATGGTATTGTTTCTTGTTTATTTAATTGATGGACCATGTGTGTTACTTGTGTATTATTGTGATGTTTTTATCAGTTGTTGGACTCTCACTTTGACGGCACCCATTCACTTCAGAGGATCCGTTGATGAGCAAGTGATATTGTAATGCTACATTTCTCCAAATCTGTTTTGCTAAAGAAACCAACTCATCTACAACTTTCAGCACATTTTCATTTTTGGGTGAGCTCTTCCTTTAACACTTTGCTTTTGTGATATGCATTACAGTCACTCTAGATTGGATGGATGGATGGATGGATTCACATTAATTATCATGTAAAGTAAGAATGTAAGAATTCATACAAATTTAGGCTAATACATATGTGACCCTGGACCACAAAACCAGTCATAAGTCCCTGGGGTATATTTGTAGCAATAGCCAATATGGGTCAAAATTATCGATTTTTCGTTTATGCCAAAAATCATTAGGATATTAAGCAAAGATCATGTTCCATGAAGATATTTTGTAAATTTCCTACTGTAAATATATCAAAACTTAATTTTTGATCAGTAATATGCATTGCTAAGAACTTAATTTAGATAACTTTAAAGGCGATTTTCTCAATATTTAGATTTTTTTTTTGCAACCTCAGTTTCCAGATTTTCAAATAGTTGTATCTCTGCCAAATACTGTCCTATCAAACCATAAATTTAAGCTAAATTTACTCAGCTTTCAGATGATGTATAAATCTCAATTTCAAAAAATCGACCCTTATGACTGTTTTTTTGGTCCAGGGTCACGTATATATATATATACGTATATAAATTATTACAGTCTGTTTTGGATCAAGGCCATGTAGCAACCTCAGTTTCCAGATTTTCAAATAGTTGTATCTCTGCCAAATACTGTCCTATCAAACCATAAATTTAAGCTAAATTTACTCAGCTTTCAGATGATGTATAAATCTCAATTTCAAAAAATCGACCCTTATGACTGTTTTTTTGGTCCAGGGTCACGTATATATATATATACGTATATAAATTATTACAGTCTGTTTTGGATCAAGGCCATGTACTGTATGCTATGCATGTTTCTTAGGGAATATTGGTCTGTACAGTCATTTTGGCTCTTGATTTCGGGTGTCTGTGTGATTGCAAACAGTGTGACACATGGTCTGTTACACATTGTGTTTTCACCCTTAACCTCATGTGCAGCTAATGCAATAAATGCATCAAAGACATGTTGACTCTTGCAGTTCTGTTCTTAAAGTGCTCAAATGAGCATAAGATGTGTGAACCGTTTTGGCTAATGTGACTTCGTTCAGACTCTTACATATCTGCTTCGTATGACACAAGACAGTGCTCTTTTGGGCCTGCTATCAATCCCTCCGGCGAGAGGGGGGCTGGCTAATGTCGTGTCATTCAGGTCTGAGTCCGTCCCTTTTCGCTTCTCTGCAGGTGAACCGTCCCCCACTGTAGTATCCTGTCCGAGCTAAGGACATGGAGGAGTGCGAGTCCCCCCCTGCCAGAATCAAGAGGAGGGCCTGGGCTCAGAGCCGAGACTCCTGGCAGGCTTCTGAGTCCCAGGACCAGGGTGCAGAGGAGCCGCTGTCTGCCCAGCCTATGGAGGATAAGACTTCGAAAGCCTCAGAAACAGGTACAGTGCTTCTGTTAATGGCGTTACGATTCAAATCTGTTTGTTTCTGTACAAACAGATACTACATACTACAGAAATTAACCAAGCAGCCATGTAGATTATATTTATTGCAAGAACTAAGATAAGTAGAAATGTAGCTAAAATACATACAATGCATGTTTTTCTAAGTTAAAAGGATTTTAGTTATTTTAATTGTATGTGCACTTAAATATAGCAATGCGTAGTAATAATAGCCAGCAATATTTATATTTTTATTATCATACATTTTTCCTTAAACACTTTTGAAACGAAAATACCAGGTATTTTCAAGGGATGATATACACAAATAATTTAATCAGTTGATTGAAATAGACAGTTTGAACTGATTCACAATAATAAATTTAACTTACCAAATGTAACCGCATTTTTGCTACAGACGTTGAAATCAGATATGCTGTTAAAACTCACAGTATATATTGCCAGGAAATTCACTACAATTACACTGTAAATGTCTATTTAATATTTTGGCCCTACTTTGCTTTCACGTCGTTATACTGTTTATTTTAAGCTGATACCAATAACTAATATTTTAACAGATCATTTGCCTATTATGGATTGTATTGTCTTTAAATGTCACTGAGCTGCTTTTACTATACTTTTACATGAATTAAGCCTTCAGATAACAGTCTGCATTTTAAGAATGTCAGCATTTAGTGCACTATAAATATTCAGCGATACATAGAATTACCGTAAAAAATTTTTAATTTACCCCTAAAAATGTATGCATATTTGGTGTGATATTTCTATTTTCAGATGCAAACCATACAGTTGTAATTTTTTGTCATTTATATCTGAGATTCACAACTCGATACTGGGATTTTGAGGGTTAGAAGCTCTGTGAGAAGGTGTACTGGAAGCTGTAATGCGGTAGTGAACACTGCTGGCATTGGATTCTCCATTCAAGTCATGATAAACCAATTTAGAGCAAATAAAGGTTTATGGAACTTTTACAAAAAAAAAACAAAAAAAAACTCATTTTGTTCTAATGAAAAAAAATACCTGTTATTAAATGTAAATAACCAGTTTGAGATGGGATTATGAGTAAATAATGCCAAAATTAACTTTTTGTCTGATCTCTTCCTTCACAGTTGATTTAATCAAATGCTCCTAGAGTAAATTCCCCCGTTGAACCCAGATGCAGCATGTTTGAGCATCAATGCCACACACTAGGTCAATAAAAATACCTCGTGCTCGTCCTATTCCCAATTCCTGCTCATTATCATTAAACACACACCAGACAGACATCCTCCTACAGCCTGACAGGAAATGTAAGTGTCTCTATTGGCGAGAGTTTGCTGGATATCCGGAGCTAGAGAGACTTCGGTGGTGCTGCTGCCGCTGGTGTTGTGAAACATGGCCAGCGCGCGGCAGAGCACGAGCTGTTCTTAGCCTCGTTTTACGTGGTGTGTTTTTTTTTCTCACGCCGTTCGGATCTCCAGGTGTCTGGATGAAAGTGGCAGGAGACTTCGAAGGCAGCGTTTTGTAAGTGTCGAGACGACAAGTTCATGCCAAGAGAATCTGTGTCCGTGCTTTGCTAAAGGAAAATAACACTTCAAGAGAGGGAAGGGGGTTTGTGTGTGTGTTTCTGCTCGAGTGACATTTTTTAGGGAGAGATTTGGCGAGCAAAAAAAGGATATGACGTGTTATTGATTTTTCAACAGGACTCCTCTCGGGGCCTCTTTGGACGAACAAAGCGGCAGTTCGTCCAGAGGTGAGTCTATCATCTTCTTCAGACGAAATTGCTGCGTTTATCTGCATTTACAGAAGTTGTCTATGTTAGTCTGAAGTAGGTTGTACTGCAAAAAGTTACTCAACTGCCTGCTGACTCTTTTCTCTACCACTCCTTGTGAACTTTGGAGCAAGGTCTCTCACAATGCACTACAGCGCATGCACATTCACTGGCACACACACACACATAGCACGCACACTGCTTTGGGGCCAATAGCAGACCCCCACACACTCCAAGCAAAGAAGTGCCTGATTAGACAAACGTTTCCTCAGGACAGAATCCAAGAGCAGGATAATGTGTTATGGATCAGGTCATCCAAAACTGCATTGGCATTATTTCGGATAACTACTTGGGTAAGGCAATTGCACTTAAGAGTAAATATTTACCGTTAACCTCTCAGTGCGTGCGAGCTAAAGCCACATTCAGGCTCTGAAGTGCTACTTGGATGTGTTGGAGTGTTTTTTATGGGGGAAGAGAATGGGAAATGATCATTTGTTCTGCACGATGGGTCAGTACAAAGTGTTTGCTCTCTGAAAGCTGTTCTCTTTGCTTATTTTTTAGGACAATTAAAGAATGGCTGTAGCTTTGAAGATGACCTGTCCCTGGGAGCTGAGGGTAAGTACTCTCCACGTTCTCCCTCAATCGGACGTAATTGCTCTCAAGTGTGCTCCTTTGTGAGGAATCTGACAAAGAATTTCAAGTATTCCACATAGCTTTTTTGAGGTTAATGAACTGACCGACAAACAAGAATGACTGCTGGCATTGTTTTGTTTTGTTGTTAACGTAGTATATCATTTGTCGATTTTTGTGCTGATGAGTCTTTGCTTTCTCTTTGGATTATGTGCTGTTTTGAGTTTGCACAAGGACACAGGGCAACATGCACACACTTGCATGTGATACTCAGGCTAAAAGACTGGTCTTGGCACATCAGATAACTTATCTCTGGTTTCATGGTTTGCACCCAATGGCCCATGTGTTAGCGGGTGTGGAACGCTTTAATAATAAAAGTGACTTCTCACTTTTTATTCCACAAGGTCTCAATGTCAGAAATGTAACAGATGTCTGTTGTTAGCTGACAATAATTTGCAATCAGGAATTATTTTATGCTGATGCACAATGTTTGATTAGGGAGTGGATTTTTGTTTTACACCTGTTTTGTTGCATGATCAGGGTCCAAAATTGAAAATTTTCCAGTCATAAATAGTTATCACCCATTAAATTATTTATTTATCTAAAAGTATTTGCAGAATTTTTGTTTAAAAAATAAATAAATTTGTTAGATTAATATTGTACATGATGTCCACTAAGGAAAAATTTTATAACGAGAATGGTTTAAAACAAACAAATAAATAAATATATTATGTATTTAAATACATAAAAAAAAAAATAAAAAAAAAAAAATATATATATATATATATATATAATCATAATATCATTTCTAGAAGGAAAAATAAACTTGCATTCTTTTTTGCATTTTTTTTTTACTTGTCAGAGACATTTTGTCACATTTAATACTAAGTGTTTCATTTTGGACTCTATCTGTGCAACTTAAAAAAAATAAAGTTACCAAATAATTTAAACAATAATTATAACTTTGCGTCAGTAACATTTAAAAATATTATTATTGTTAAAAGTGCTTGTGGTATTTGCTTGTATAATTGGACCTCTACTATACTGTCTTTTTTCTTGGTAAATTATATTATATGTGTGGGTGTATTTTTACAGTTACACAACTGTAGCTCCACAAGCTATTGTGTTATTGTAGTTGAGCAGATTTCACCCTTTAGTGTGTCTGTATGTGAAGAAACGAGTCCAGACTAGTTCCACTGAATGACTCTATTCACTCTTATTGACAAGAGCACAGGAATCAGGCCGCACCAGTTGTGAGAATTTCTGTGGAAATTTAAGGTTAAGCATTTTTACCTGAGGCTGATGGATGAGTACGTGTAAGCCAGGACGTTTCAGGCCAGAAAAGCTCTGGCTAATGTCCTCTACGTCTCTCTGTTCAGTCCTGTCCTCCTTAGTGAACTGAAGCCTGGTGTCTAATGAGATTTGTAACACGAATCGTTTGGCAGGTTAGGATGTGTGCTCATATAATTCTGTCATTGTGTGCTAAGTGCTGAGGAAAACGTTCCACAATGTGGATTGTCATCCGGAGTGGATGGTTCTCCGCTGAATAAATCACTTTTGGAAATTAACATCGTCACAATGTTGAATAAGACTCTTTCATAAGGAATTTCTGACAACTCACACTATGCTAAAATGGCAGCCAGGGCTTTTGGTAATTGCACTTGTTGCGTCAAAGGTTGACAGGTGGGTTCAAGGGAATTTGGTATCAAATTAGGCAGGAATCCAGTACAGTTAAGCTTCTCTTTCTCTCTCGCCTCTACAGCCAATCACCTCCAGAACAGCAGCACAAAACCAGCGGCCAATGGGTAAGTAGGCCTTCAAAAATGTTCACATTTCTTTCTGCTTTGGTCTGGTCACAGGCGGGTCACTGTCTTCTTTCCTCAGCTATGAAATCGCAGCCGAGGCCAAAAGGTGCCAGTTCAAGCAGAAAGGCAGAAGTATGAACTCCACTGGCTCTGGAAAGAGCAGCACCACCGTGTCCAGGTACTTTACAAGAATGATGTACTATGGTCATTAACACATGCAAAATCTCTAGGCTTGTAAAACAGCAACAACTGAACCAGTGATTGGGCAAGGAGTCTGAATGTGATATATTTTATAATAATTTTAAATCGATTTAAGTATATAAGGTAATTATATATATTAATGTATTATATGTATAAATATTACTTATAATATATTATATAGAATATATATATATTCTACACCCATATGGTCCATGGCAACCAATTTCCTACAAAACTGAGCTAGATTCAGATATCAACATAATAAATAAGCCAATGCTAATGTGTATAAACTATTATATCAGAATTATGCTGCTATACCAACCCTCTACGGACACCTTGGCAATTTAATTGCCATTGGCTATTACATTTTTTAGTTCACTCGCCAGACTGAGATATATATACAGTGTATATATATATATAATAAATGTTTGTAAAAATACTGATAATAATGATACGAATTCTACTAAGAACAATATAAAACACACTAAGGATTAATGAGCTGCTGGATTCATGAATATTAATCAGGTTTTGTGCGTTCGCTCGAACTGATTTGCTGAAATCAAATGAGGGACGATAATAGGTGAGCGCCAGCCAATGAGATTGCCGTTTGCGCATTAGTTCCGCCCACTACCGGAGAAAGCGGCAGTTCTTAAAAGCTGAAGAATTCCAAAGGAACGCTGTTATTTTTTTAAATACAACAAAGAATATAGTTTACATGTAGCTCGTCAATTCTCTCTCTCTCTCTCTCTCTCTCTCTCTCTCTCTCTGCGTGTGTGTGAAACAAAGCGACGGCGAGGCGGGCGC